CACAGAGTACAGAAATGCCACTCAACCACTGACTAGGAGAATCAGAATGAAAAAAAACTGTACAAATACGACCACGACGAGTAGCATGATGGTAGTGTTATTTCGAACAATGACACGTTGTAGCTCCCGTGTCTGCCCCTCGTCGTCTGGAACTCGCAAATCACTAGCACCGTCATCCTCTGCATCAGAGAAACTGTCCGCCCATCGGAAAAATCTGCATTGATCGGCAATGCTTCGGGGGCATGTATAAAACTTCCGACCGTAGTTATGTGCCTGCCGTGAGGTCAAAAGTGTGGTTTGCAGGCCACAATGACAAAGCACTCGTCGGGGGATAGCATACATCCTGGAAGTCATTTTTTGCTGAAAAACAATGCAGTATAAAACATAATTATCATCATATTAGGTAATGAAAAAGGCTATCATCAAAATTGAAATATATAAACCGAAATAAAAAACGCAAACCCCTTCACAAATTGTGTTTGCAGCAGATCTGAATCGAAGTAATCAGTCTCCAACTAATGAGGCAGTAATCTCCTCACGAAGGGCTTTCATTTCACTCGCACCTTCTCCATCTTTCGTGCAAATTGAAGCATTGTCGTTCTCCTCTGTTGGTAGAGATTGACCAATGCGGTATTCATAGGCTTCGACAGGTACTTCGTCATCATTGACCTCAACACGCTCGAAGTCAACATCAGCTCGAGTTGGATGCCGTCGAATATAGTTAGTGAGGGCCATAGTGGCTAACACTACCTGCACCTGTTTTGGAAATGGATAAGGTGGCATATCTCGTAGTATTACCCATTTCTTCTTCCAAACTCCAAAAGTCCTCTCAATAAAGCCTCGTAAGGATGAATGTCTTCTATTAAAGACCTCTTTTCTGTTTCTCGTACGATTGCTGGCTCTCTGAAAATCTGGAAGATGATACCTTGTGTCAGGATAGGGTTTAAGGTACCCCCTCTGCATTGGGTAGCCAGCATCGACCAAATAGTACTTCCCTGAAAAATTAAAAACTTTAGGGGAGCACACAAAAAATTAATCTACTCGTATTAGTAAGGTACTAACCCTGTGGTGGGTGAGGAAAATTGTACTCCGGATTTCTCGTTGCAATTTTGAAGATTCTACTATCATGTGCGCTGCCCTCCCATCCAGCCATTGCAAATGTGAAACACATGTTGAAATCACAAACGGCCATGATATTTTGCGTTGTGCTCCCGGAACGGCCGATAAATGCAACTTTCTCGTTTTCCGGTACCCTGGCATGAACATGCGTTCCATCGATTGCGCCGATGCAACCCTTCAAAAATAAAGTTAAATCATGTCAATATGCAACACATTAATATTGATTTAAATTATTAATGTGTACCTTGAAATGTGGCATGTATCG